TTCTTCTCTAAAATTTTCTCCTTTATCATCCTTTCCTGCTCTCTATCAATGTTCCGTTGTCTGCTTTCGTCTCCTCTTTCTGCCCCCTCCCCCCTTCCCCCTCACCTCCTTTGTCCCATCCTCTGGGCTCCTGACTCTTTCCGCGGCCTTTCTACTGCTTCTCCTTGGCTCCTTCTTACTGCTGTCTTTCAGCCACACCCCTGATATTATGGTAGGTACTAGCCTTCTCGGATTAGGGCGAACAATTTTGGAGGTCCCGTGTGCAAGCTGCACAGGTTAAAGATTCTTGGTGGTCCATAATCGATAAGTGTAGGCTTCGGTCGACACCCGGGCAAAATTCAATATTTCCTACCTAATGAAAATGTTTGGTGTGTCCCGCGCGCTCATATGACTTTATGCAGTTGCGAGCTCCGTAAAACACTTTAAAGAATAAAGAAAGGGTGGAGGGAGAGAGGAGGGGAGAATATTATTGATTTCTATTTCAGTGTCCGAATAGTTGGAACCTGAAGCCTCCCTTCGAAATAACCCGCTGTTTGTCAGTCGAACAGTTGAAACGCACTGTTGAACAGGAGGTCCAAAGAATTGACCCAAAAACATGCCACAGGATTACTTAAGATTTCCAGCGGCGCTTTCGAGAATGTCTAGGGAGAAAGGGTCAATCCTGGAGTGGGTAACTCAAATAACCCCGACCTCCCCTGAGCTTGTTTGACGATGTCCGTTCCAAACTATTAAACCTCTTTTTTTACACGCTAGTTAATTTACTTCGTTCTGAATGTTTTAACCTGACGTTGGTTGGATTTAATTTGTTAAAAGTTTTGTTGTAACAGTTCAAAGACTTTTTAAAAACACCATGTACAGTGTACTTGTGAGACTCCTCTCTGCCTTTCTGGGCTATCCGTTAGCTCAGTTTGTATAATGCTGGACTACGGAGGGGGTGGCCCTGGTTCGAATCCCTGGCAGGGTGTCCTTGAATTCGGGTTGTTTTGTAGATTTGCTGAGTAGAAAGAGCTACTAAATATTATATAACTTATTGATATTAACTCTTGGTAGACGGAAACGTTCAAAACAAGTGCAGCCAATGTTGATTTTCGTCCGATCAGCTCTCAAATCTAGAAAATTCCTACTGCTCGTCAGACGACCATGAAACAACAAAGAATTCAGTGACGAAAGCAGCCCATAGTCGATCTCCATAAGAAGTAATCCTGTAGGCCATGTGCCTACTAGATTGAGAAATTCTGCAAGGTGCACGGTTATTCGTCATTTTACAATTTTTGTAGGATCTGGAGAAAAAAAAGACGGCGATCAGCCTAATCAGATTTCCAGCCGTTGATGCTAATTCATTGACACAATGTAATCTGATTTAGCTGCACTAACCGTGTTTCCTTTCCTGGTTCACAGTTGATCCGACTCAGGTGGAAATAGCTCTCAAGATTAACTAAGTTTGCGCCGAATAACAGGGGTAGCTACATTGTACTAATTTATTACATGTATTTCTTTCCCCCAATGAAGCGACAGACAGATTTCACTGCACTTGCCTTTTACAGAGGGAAAGCGTGCTGTTCATTAAACCGTTTATTGATACACCTGTTTTTGTGGTGGGCACATTTCTAAAGGGACCGTATCTTGCAAGGGTAAAAGTGCACTCACGTTGATCTTCTAACATGCGTTCTCATATTCCCAACCCGATCAGAACAAACTGATGATATGAGACAAAAAGTGAACCGTATGTTTTTAACTGATCTGATTTTGTTTGAGGCGGACTCACGTACCAGAGTGGTGTTTGAGGGAACGAGGACAAACTGTTGTATGCTTATCTCATTTTTTTAAAAAGGTACCATTATGTAAAACTGAGAGATATAGCGCAACACTGAGAACGGTTTCTGCTAACCTATAACGGGTACTCACATATAAAGGACAGAAATGATACACTATGGACAATTTAATATTTCAAGAGGAATAGAAAACAAAAACGAATTAAAACAATTTTTTTCTTTCTCGAAAGTCACGTTTCTCTAGATAAGACAGTCTGTCAGCGCAACTTTGGACAAACGCCCTTTGTTTTCTTGATTCGATGACGCACAGTGCACTTAACGGGTCAAGTTCATATCGTGCGTAATCAAACCATTCATCCGTTGAAAGCGGCTTATTATATGTAAGGCATCAAGGTGAAATCAGGCGCTAATCAAAATAATGAAATTGAAGAAACCAATATTTTTCCAGTGTTGGACACGGTTTTTTTAATTACATTTTTTTTCCTCAACACCTTTTAAATCCATTTGAAAACATAATTATTTCTGTGTGAAAATATACTGGAAAAAGTTGATCGAAGGCACACGAAAATTGTAAATTTAAAGTTTCCAAGTATGCTCAAGCTTTTGAAGTCACCATACTTTGACAGCCATTTTCTTGCTAACTTTACCTCCAACACCAGATGACCCTTACCTCCTTCAATTGCAAATACCTCGACTTCTATTAAAACTAGATCGGTATTTTTTCCATCAAAAGCAAGCCAAATGAACAGGTTTTACGCATACCAATAACTGAATATGCCCCAAAATTGACGAGCGCCTGATTCCACCGCGTTGTTACACTTATATGTTCAGGTATACAAATGGGCACCCGTGACGGACTTTAAGTAAGCTGTTGTTGTTCCTTCTTCGACTCAGACAGTGTGGGTAATGCGTGCGTCTTTAGCGACCTACAAAGTCGTGCGTGCCGGAGATCGTAAGGCCTAGATCTATTAGTTTCACGGTCACGTGGTTATTATTCACGCGAGGGGCGACGAAGGAGTAATTCAGTAACATTAATGATTTGTTATGAGTGCACTTGTACTCGTTTTAACTTAAACGAGCACCTACAAAAATTTTAATGTGTAAGACGATCTCGCACGCACGAACGTTCTCTCTCTCTCTCTCTCTCTCTCTCT